TTTAAAAAAAACTTTTTAAAAATATAATCTAATTCACAAACTAGAAAATTTTTATTAAAAACTTAAAAAATCAATTAAAAATCAATTTTTTTTATATTTTTTTTAAGTTTTACCTATATAAAATTTGTTTAAACTATTTGTTAATATCTAATTAAAAAATCATATAACTTAAGAACTATTTTTATCTGATCTTTTATATTATTAACTAGCTTTTGATAAATATTATTATAAATTTATACTATGATTTCTGTAAAAATACTTTTAATTTAACAATATTTTTAGGATTTTCTTTTTTTGATCAGATATTATATTCAAGTTCATCTTAAATATACTCAATAGAATTGAGATCAGAACTTTATTCTAGTTATAATAAAAAAATTATCTTATTATTTTTAATGAAAATTCATATTTTTCTACTTATATAAATATTTTTATTATTTTATTAAAAGAAATATTCTCATATTTTTCTTTAAATTTTTCTAAAAATGGTATTAAATAATATCTAAAAATTTCTTCTATATATTTTTTACTATTAATTTATCTAGTAATTCTTACTAAAAGACCTATTTTATGTTATAAAAAATATTCCTATATCATTATACTATCTTTATCATATTTTATTATAAGAACTAAGTAATTAATATTATACTTCTTCATTAACAGATGCTAAACATAAACTTTTTATTATTTTGAAATAATATAAACTTAGATTTATCACTTTAAATAACTTTTTCAGTCATTAATTCTACTTTAATTAAAAATATATATTTAACTTATTATATATAAGATTTTTAAAGAGCAATTTGACTATAATATCCTATTTTATAAAATACATATTATATGGTATTTTTACTTATTTTATTTTTAGTTAAATTTATAAAAGTTTCTTATATTTTTATGCTAGTTCTCATCTTTCTTTATTAATAATAATTTTAAATATTATTTGTTATATTCTAATAGTTTTTTTTTAGATTATTTATTTTTATAAATATTGATAGAAAATCTGTTTTATTGAATTTTGTAATTATATAATGTATAGCTATCTTTAAGTGATCTATTTTTTAAGATATAGCTTTTTTAAGTTTATTTGTTTTACGTAAATTGATAATTATTCTATATTTAATTATTATAAGCTCTTTTTTTAAATACATTAAAGAATATTTAAAGAAAAAAATTATATGAAAAGAAGAAAAAAGAGATAGTGATAATCTTTTATATAATTGAATTTTAATAAATATTTTTAGATTATATAAATCTTATGTAATTATTGCAGATTATAAATTATAGAGATGGTCTAATACTTTTAAATAAGAAGTATAAAATATTATTGATAATACAATTCACTCATGAAAAAATCATGATTTTAATAGAGGATTTTAGTTAAATTTTGTTAAGAAAAAGTTTATTATCTGATATATGTCTACTACATAAAAAAAAATATAAATAAATATATAAAAATAATAATTGATTATCAAAGTACTTTATTGATATAGAAAAATAAAATATAGATATAGTATATTATTATTTTAAAAAATATTTTTAGAAATTTGCATTTTTTTTTGTTTAATTTTTTAACTTTAAGTGAAGAAGGACTATTTTTTTTAATTATATAACAAGTTATTAAACTTGAGTTTACTTTTTTCTTAAATACTTTCATAAAAAATTAGTTAAATTTTAGTACTTTTCTTTTTTTTATTTGTTATTTTTAATTTTGTTATAGAGTTTTTAGAAGAATCAATATAGTTAATATTAATATTATCAATATTATCATTAAAGTAATAGTCTTTAGGATAAAAAGCTTTTGATCTTTAAATATTCATACTATTAGTTAAAGCATTAGTTTGACATATGAGGCCTTTGCAATAGAAAGGGAGGAAACTCAAAAAAAAATAAAAAATGAGTTAATAATAAATCTGAACAAATTATAGTATTTAGAACATTTTTGGCTTATAAACTAAAATTTTAATTTTTTTAGTGTTTCCTCTCTTTCTATTGCAAAGACCCCATATATCATATTTAACTTTTTTATTTTATATACTTATAGTTAATATAAATAATACAGTAATTTTTATATATAAAAATTTTATTTTATATTGATGATTAATAATCAATAGATCATTAATTATTTAATTTTAGATATTATTTGAATAATTTGGATAAATAATAATTTTAATATATTCATGTATAATTCACAAATATTTGAATAATGATAATACTTATTTGAATATTCAAATTATTCAAATAATTTTTACAATTAATTATTATTATTAAATTATATAGTTTTTAGATCAGTTTTTAGATTTAATTATATTATAAAATTTTATATTTAACAATTAATTCAATTAATCAAAAATTAATAATTAAATCTTTAATCAAATTTTGATCAATTTTCAAATCAATTTTAAATATCAAAATTGATGTTAATTTTTAATTTAAACAAGTAAGTTTTAAAGTTTAAAAGTTTAAATATTTTAAGAATTTAAATAAGTTTATATTAAATAAATTAAAATAATAGTAAAATATAATTTTAAATTTAAATTTCTTAAATTTTAATAAAATTAAACTTTAAGTTTTTATTACATATTTTAACAATTTTTTTTTATAAGAAAATAATACTAAATAAAAAGTAATTAATCAAAATTAATGTTATTTATTTTATTTTTTTAAAATATAAAAGAAAAAAAATGAGTTTTTTAATTTTATAATATAAATTTTTTATTTAATTTATTTATATTTTATTTGATTAATTGTATATTTAAAAATAAAAAAAATTAAATTATAAGTTTTTTATATATTTAAAAATACAAAATTTATAAATAAAAAATTAATAAATTAATAAAGCATAAAATATATTAATTATATTATAATAATTTAAAAATTAAATTATAAAATATTATATTTAAATTTAAAAAAAAATAAATATAAAATTTAATTTAAAATACTTTTTCTTATCAATTTATTTTTTTTTTTTAATAAAAAATCTAAATTTTCTTAATCAAAAAATAAAATTTAATCCATTATTTTAAAAACTATTATAAAAATAGTTTTTTTTTTTTTTTTTTTTTAATATATATATATTTTTAGTATATAAAATAAATATTAATGATTCTAATAATTTACAAATTAAAACCATATTATAAAAAGATGTGATTTTATTGAAAGTTTTTTTTTTATACAGATTATATATGAATTGAACTTTTTGAAAAAATATACAATATATGATTATATAGAGAAATTCATATAAAGTATGAATCGAATATAATTTGAAAGTTGAAATTCTGAAGACTGTAATATAAATAAATAAATAAAATCAATCAGGATTTACTTTCTGCATATAATGAAATTTAAATCGGAAATTACTTGCTTTGTTCCTTTATTTAGAAAAAGTTCAAAGTACACAAACAAAAAAAGAAGAAGCTTTTGTTGCAACAAGAGGATGATATTAATTATTTTTCATTGGTGCAATTTCTGTTTTCAAAATTCGCTGGTGTTTTCTTTTAGGTATAGGAGCTAAAAATTTAGGAAATGATGATTAATTTAATGAAGAAATCAAATGATAAATTTTAAAAAGGTTTACCATTTTCATTTTCTCGAACATAAAATTTTCTTAATAATAAAATAGCTTCCTCTCTATAATACCCTCCTTCACATGTATACGCCGGATGTAATTTTAATTTTGGACTAAAAAGATCATAATTAAAATAAATACGTTGGAAGAAATTTTCTTAATGAGAGAACGTACTCTTGATGAATATCAAAAACAGATCCAGCTCCTCCAAATCTCTCGTTTGCACATCCATAAACAACACGTTTGATCCCTTGTAATATATATATATATATATTTATTTATTTAAATTACAATAAAATAAAAAATTAATTGTTAGACATAAAATATTTCGAAATTCATACCTAATTGCCTTAAAGCGTAGGTGCACATAACACAAGGTTCAACTGTAACATATAGCACACATCGTTTAAATACTTCACTTGTGTATTCACCGGAAGAAAGAATTAAATCTATTGCTTCAAATTCAGCATGTCTCGTTCCCTAATATAAAGAAAGGAAATCACTGTTATTTCTTTTATTTATAGATATAAAAAAAAATTTATAAGATAGAGTACATTGAGTGTCTCATTAGTTCTATTACGGCCGCTTCCGATTATTTTATCATCAAGTACAAATACACATCCAACAGGAACTTCATGATTATCATATGCTTCTTGTGCCTAAATTAATATAAATATTTGACATAACATAAATTAAATTAAATTAACATTTTTGTCATATAATTACAAGATTTAAAGCTTCTCGCATATATTTGTGATGGGTTGTTTCCATATTGGATATATTTCATTCTTAGTTGCATTCACTGTTTAATATATCGAGCACAATATCACTATTTAAAATCACGTGTAAGATCAAAGTTACCCAATTGTTTGGGCTTTGAATTATTACTCACAAGATTCAGCCAAAAACATAAGGTGTTACTGCACATCAATCAGATTAGATAAATGTCAAAAGTTTGTGTAAGAAAAGATAAGATGGGATCAATCGATAATCTTTTTTCCTATTGCATAAGAATTACCAATTTCAATTTCACGTGACAATGAACCAATTTATGAACTTTTTCACGCCAAATTTTTCACAACAAAAATTCCTTCCGTAACTTTTAATTCTATCCGCATCCAAGATTTTGGTTTTTTTTTTTGAATATATAATTTATATAAAGGAAACATTGCGATATTTTTACTTGATTAAGCCCCGCTCGTTATAGCAAAATGATAGGGTTTAAACCAAATTTAATCCGTAATAAAATAATATTAAAGTCCTCCTTAAGTTCATGTTGTTATAAACAATATCATGCATCTAGAAAAGTAATGGGGGTAAGTTCTTAAAAGACGCGGGTAGTTAAATATTATATCTTTATGTCATTACGACCTTATTTACTTATCATACCTCTATCATTTCTCCATTATTTGGCACCTAATAGAATTCTATAATGGAGCAGCAACAAAAGGTAGAACTTCCAATTTTCATGCGTAAAAAACATGATAGGGTATGTAATTTTATGATGCAATTTTTTTTTTTTATAAATTTAATATAATCTTTATATTATTTTTCCCACTTCATGTAGGACCTTATTATGGAGGTCTTGAGCACGGTTCCAAGCCAAAAAGAAGCTCAATCATATATCAAACGATTCACAATACCCAATAAAAAACCACCCGCACCCACACCAACTCCATCACCTATTCCTTTAGAAACAAAAAAGTCAATATCTGATGTTCCATCAACCGTTCCCGAATCTGATGTTCAAAAACATAACCCACAACTTTCTTTAACTTCGCAGAAAGCAGAATTTGTCGATTCTTTGTTTGCAACTAAACTAGAACATATCGCTCTAATTAAAATCCAGGGTCCTTTTACTTCTCTAGACCTTAAATCAATTGCCAAAACATTGGTTCATTTACAACAATTAGGATTGATGCCGATTGCTGTTTTGGATAATGACGAGTGGAAAGAGATGTTGAAGGAGGGACCTTCTCGATTCAGTGAATTAAGACAATGGATGATGGAGGACTCTTCTAATATTTGTGAAGCGTTAGAGGACGCAGGTGGAAGATCTACTCCCATACAAAATGGCGTTTTCACGCTCACACACGACGAGTCTGAGGAAAGCGATAAAAAAGTACATCGTCCAAGACTCAAACTACGTACTTTATCAACAGATGTGGATGCGAAGATCAATGTCTCATTGTCGTGGTTAAAAACATCCTTAAAATTAGGCCATATTCCTCTTATCCTTCCCATAGCACTAGATGGATTGTCTATACAAAGAACCATTTCTCCGAATGCTGGGATGATAGCACTTTCAAGTTCTTTATCTGATCTTTCAAATGCAACTTGTTTGAATTTGAAAACCCCACACCTTGAACCCATGAAAATCATTGTCATCAATTCGGAAGGTGGTATTCCTTCCGAGGAAAGGAAGGGATCTCATGTTTTTATAAACATTCAACAAGAATATGAAGATATTAAGAATAGTTATAAGAGTAATCCACAATGGAATTTCACGCATCCGACGGGTATTGAAAACTTGGAAATGATAAAAACTTGCTTGGAAAAATTACCCACTACCACATCAGCCATAATGGCTCCAGCATATTCTCCCACAGGACTCATCTCTAATTTAATCACTGACAAGCCATTATTTTCATCATCTTTGCCGCTTACAGCACCCACAACACCATCAACGACCACAACAGTGATACGACATGGTATGCCGGTTTTATATCATAATTCACTTTCCACCGTCAACATATCATCCTTACAATCTCTTATTGAGGCATCGTTCAAGAGAAAGTTGGATATTGATAATTATGTTGCTAGACTGGAGAAATGCTTGGAGTTAGTAATAGTAACGGGTGATTATCAAGGAGCCGCAATAATAACCATGGAAGATGTAGAAGGAAACAAGAAAGGTAATATACCTTACCTAGATAAATTTGCTGTTACACCTAATAATCAAGGAGTTGGCATTGCGGATATTTTATGGAAACAATTACAAATAAGATATCCGAATTTGATGTGGAGATCACGTGAAAACAATGGTGTAAATAAATGGTTCGTGAAGTGATTATATTTGAAAATGTTGTATTGTCTTTTCATTGAAATCATCTAAAAAATTTTTTTTTTTTATTCCAAAGGTATTTTGAAAGATCTAATGGCAATTATCGAGTTCCGGGAACTCACTGGACGATGTTTTGGTATGGCAACGACGGAATTAATGGGTTGAAGGCTTATACCGAAATTACTAAAAAGATACCAGCTTCATTTTACTGTAATTCAAGATAAGATTATTAATGCATTACGTATTAATTATATACCATAGCCAAAACATACATTTTTGTCATAATGTAAATATTAATTTATTTTAAACCATTTCCTGTTTCAACATTGCAATTTTTTTTTCACCGCTTTACATGTATACAAATTTTTTTTTGTAAATCTTATCTTTTAATAATTATTCTTGATAATAAAATAAAATGAAGACATTCACGAATTTTTAAAACTAACTTTACTAAATATTAAAAAAAAAAAAGTGGAACTACCTCATTAATAAACTCTAACTAGTAATTTCAAACGAGAAGGCCGAAATATTTTGAGTTTATGAATTTAAGAATACTTATAAAAAAAAAAAAAAAAAAAAATTAAAAAAAAATTATCGATAATCAGATGTTATCCATTGGTTGAATCAATGATATACTGATGATATACTAGCTCTTAAAATAGACAAAATTAATCGACTGCAAAAAAGTCCTAACACGAGTTAATGATTTGTTAATTAAATTTATTCAGTTGACATTCCTCGACTTCGCGTTCCGCTTTTTATTTTTTATTTTTTTTTCTTTCAAATGAATTAATTACTCATGATAATTTTATATTATTAAAACATTTATCGCACCGGAAAGATCATTATTAGTATTACCAATTTATTTTTGATCGCAGTATTTTTTCTATCCCTTAAATGGTAACTGTCATCATTGGTCATCTCGGTTGCAATTTAAGAAACTTAATATTCAATATTCGGTAGTTACCGTAATACTTTTACATGAAATTGTTACTTCCACACCTCGTTTATACTTGTCCTTTTTAGTGATACACGATTAACGATCCTTTCATTTCTAATTTCAAATAATAAAACATCGGACATTAAAAAATTGCCCTTGTATGGAAGGTCTAGAATCAAGATTGCGTCCACGCACCTTTTTATGCATAGAAGAGTTTTATATTGGGTGTACAAAAAGCCGTTCGAATATATATATTTATATATATTTGTATTATTTACCATATATAAGTTTTAATGTTATATACGCGTTTACGTATATGGAAAGTCTTTATCTCTATGAAAATTGGTTTCTTTGTTAAAAGGATTATCGTTATTATCTAAATGTTTTAAATGTTAAATATCACTTGGAGTCACACAAGTTTTATTTATCCCAAGGGTCTAAAATGGAATCAAGTAGATAAAAAAAAAAAGGAGTTGACACACCCCAAATCTTTTATTCCCCTAATTCCTCGGGACGTGTGAAAAAAAGAGAGATTTGCGGTTATTAAAATAAATATGTTAAGCCGTCATTATATAATTATTTCATTTGAACTAAATAAAAATATTTTTAAATCGAATTTCAACAAGCTTAAAAAAAAAAAAAATAATTAAATAAAAAAAAAAATTTCGGAGTTGGGTGTGACTCAATTTCACATCATATAACGCGTCAAAAAAAAATGGTCTTAATAACTATAAAATCAATAAATCTGAATTTAAATTTTGTATGACTATGTTAAAAAAGATTTATTTTTAAAAATTTTTTTTTTGGGGGTTTAAAATTAGTAATTGACTGTTTCTTTTTTTACCCGGATTTGGTTGGCTTGATTTAAAATTAGAAATTAAAAATGCTGAATAAAGACCTTATTCAATTTTAGCATGATCGATCTTTTATGGCATCAATTAAGTAAATTTTTTTTTTTTTTTGTATAAAAAAATTAATCAATTCTTTTTTGATAAGCTATTTGGCGCCAACTTTAATTGGAACAATTGATAAACAAAAAAAAAATTAATATATTAACTTTAGGAAATCAGATTATGCTTAAAATTTATTGATTTTTAAAGTTTTTTTTTTTATTACCATTAAAGGTCAGTTATAACCTTTTATGTCTAGGTTATTGTGGGCGATAGCCTGTAGTATTTATCTAAGAATCTAAAAATAAATCCTCCTAAAATTAGCACCTTGGTGATCAATTAATTATAGATCCTTATCACCATTAGAAAATTGCCGTAGTAAATCGTAATTGTAAGAGATATATATATACATGATATTTTTTTTTTTAAAAAAAAAATGAATAAAATAGTAAACCCAACAAATAATCGTGTTACAACATATAATATAATCATTTGCATGATCTATTATTAGTTCTGTTGATAAATGTTCAATAAATGTGTGCGAATCAATCGTACTAGCAATAAAACCTGAGAAAAAAAAAATTGTAATAAAGAAAAAAGGTCAAAAGATGAAGTCCATCCATCGTACAAGTAATGACAAATTACGATAAGGGCAAACTTTGTTTCGCGTTTCAGAACAGGAGACAAAAAAATTTCACATGTAATATATCAATACTCATTGTAAAACTTGTTACAGTAATATAAATTTCAGACTTGATCAACTTGATATGTGATATCTCCTTATTATTTATTATAATTCATGTGTTCAAGTCACTAAATAGTGTTTGACCACAAAAAAAAAAATTTCTTTGTTTTTATTTGAAACATCAATAATGATTTTTTTTTTTTTCGGCCAAGGAGTTTTATCAACAATTCGTTTTTCTTTAAATGGACAAGACTATGAGTTGTGTTTAATTATAATTAATTAAATATATTAATAAAGAAATTAAATTTGCCGAGACATTTTGTTTGTTTATTTATCCATGAGAGAATTTTCAGCCATTCACATTTTCCATGCATAAAAGGATAGGGTCACCAAAAGATTGTGTTTGATGAACAATTAATTTGTTTTAATTATTGAAAATAATCAAGCAAATGAAAGATTTGAATGAAACATGAAACTAGCTATAACAAGTTTTATGATATATTACATTATAAATGTTGGTCACCACATTTTTTATAAACAAAGAAACAATTTGTTGGGGCAAAAAATTGAAAACCCACATATGATACAAATACAATATTTAAGGGGTACAAATAAATGGTTTATTATGGAAATATCGTTCAAATACATGCGCAGGACTCTTGGGAACGTGGAACTGCGGTGATCGACATTCGAGTCGCGAGAAACGCGAAATGTGATTTCCATCGTGACGCAGTAAACCAAAAAAAGGTAATAAATCATTTCAATCTATTAATAGAAGAAGCCTCTCGTTATTATTGTCCTTAAAACTTTAATCTCTCACTAAAAATATTTAATTTCTTAATATTATGTAATTAATTGTAATTTCAAATGGATCTGACAAAAAAATTTTATAACCACTACATTATCTTATCGTTATAGCGACCTTGTAGTGATATTTCATAGCATCATATATCGAGGGTGATCGAATAAATAACGCCATATTACTTGGTTCACACAAGGTGAACATTTCATGGTTAGTACATGGATAAACTGACTATTTGTGGGTAAGCTTTATGATTTTTAACAAAAATTAGGATCTTGGCATTTTAATCTAGCAGCTTCAAAAACAAGTTTTTAATATCTTATAAAGAATATATGTTCTATAAATATCAACCCTAACTTCAACTATTTAAAAATATTTTTTCCTATTTCAGTTCATAAAAAACCAATTACAATACAGTGTTCTTATATTATCAAGATGATAAAGTAGGTAATTATACTAACTATTATAGGATGTTAAACATAAATATACAAAAATATATGTCATATCCTATTTATATTGTGAAAATTAATTTACATTATACTAAGCTCTCAAATTTCGGTTAAAAAAATGTCGGAATGACGTAATTTCAAAAGTAGCTATCTTTTTGACCTTTGGTCTCGTGTATACCAATCAATTTTTAATGCAATCGTTCAATAATAATATTTACTCTTGTTAAATATACTGTATATACAGCATCTATAATTAATAATTTATTTATGTTAAAAACAATAATATATTATTAATCATTATTATTTAATTGTTTTGACAATTTATTCTTTATAATGAATATTAATTGGAACTTTTTTTTTTAATTAAATAGAGGGCAAAATATCATACCCCCTTTATCTTAATAACCAGATATTATTATTAAGCCATTAGGGCTAATGCTGAGCAAATCAAACATTTCACAATCAATAAGATGTTCATGTAATATCTTTTTATTTCCTTATTAACGATATATTTTAATCATATTTATTTATTAATTCATAATACTGTGCCACAATCCTGTTTGACATGTGATTATTCAGCAAAAAGATTTTTCATTACTAATCTTTGTAATTTGGTAGCATTCAACCATTTTGGCCCAATATTATAAAGTTCTTATCCACAATATTGTTAAATGATATATAAGGTTTAGTATAATACTTGGATTTCAATGGAAATTAAGAAAATGGTTATGACAAATAATAAAAATAATGTAAGAGTTTTGATAGTCATGTGAACTTTTAGGGTGGCTTCGATAAAACCTTTCCTTTATTCTTTATAGAACGGGACCAGGAATTTATCGAAATCTCTTTGGGAATTCTTTACAAATTTGAGAAAATAAGAAATAAAATTAGGTAAGAAACTAGTAAATAAACCAGTATTGATTTTTTTCCTAAAAAAAAAAAAAAAATTCATCTATTTTTAAAGAAAAATTTATTTTTGGATTTTATTTATTGATTCCTCTTTATCTAGTGACGTAAACTTCTGATGTATCAGCAAAAGCATCTGACGACATCAATCTTATCATTTTTAACCCTTAAAAGCCTCCTGAGAACTAGTTTCTCCCCGAAAATCACCTAATGCACAATTTATTTGAAACCTGATCATCAATCCATCGTTAAATACAATGAAGTCCTACGTATTTACAAAATTATCCAATCAAATTTCACGAATTAACAAATTTTATTTTTCTCGTGATCATATTTACGTTCCCTATTGAACATTTTCGGTTTAATCGTCGTCACGATTAAATTTCATTTCCGCCTACGTAGCAAGAATCCGGATGTTGATTTAATAACTTTATTATAATATTGAAGACATTACGAGTTTCAATAATAATACTGTATACGAATTTCATAAATTAATAATCACTTATTAACCACTTTCAATTTGGACGTCATTTATGCAGTTATCACAATCAA